CCCCCCCCCCCCCCCCCCCCGAGAGTGGAAAGGAAGGAGGGAGCTCTTTCTGCAGGCTGCAGATAGCTACTTATCTTTCGAGCTTCCGAGGTTAAGACTGGTGGAAAAAACACACAGAAAGAGACAATTTGGACAAACCGGACTTGGGCCACCACGGTTTGCACTGGGAACAGCACTAACCCCCAGTGGGAAGAAACCGTTTCTCATACGTACTGTATGCAAATGTCCACCTATCTCCTCCATCTGATTACAGATGTTTAGCTGTGCAACTGACTTAATCTATTCTTTAGTCTGCCCACAATTATCTCAAATCTTTCCCATCTTTCAAAGACTGGGGATGGCATGGGGAAACAGCAGCCAAAGCACTGCGAGCCACAGTGGTCAATGGCAGTTGAAGGCAGGACATATGCCCCCGGTGAAGGGTGCTGGGAGGGAGCTGTGTCCGATTAACGTGTGTTGTTGGATACCAGCCCAGGGATCAGTGCGGCCGAGGGTGTCCCAACCCCTGTCCTGTGCTCCCCGCGTCATGCAGGATACGAAAGTGGAAAAAAAAGGGTGAGCAAGAGCACTGCTGCCCTGTGCTCGTTCCTGATGTGCAGAGAGAGGGGCCTCGGGGGCACCCCGTCTTTCAGCCTCGCAGCATGGTAAGGGGACAGGTTAACCACTGACCGGGATGTTGTATCTGGTGCGGTAGAGCGTCCTCATGGCCACACTGGTCCCACACAGGCAGCACTCGTTCATGTCCCCGGCCACTTGGCAGGCGAGGCAGGGGAAGCAAAACATCCCGCAGCAGCCTGGCAGGGGGAGAAATGCAGCAGGGGGTGAGGCTCTGCCCGCCCGCCCGGCACCACCAGCACTGGGGGAGTAACTGGGAGGACCAGGCTACATGGCTGTAGCAATCGCACCACCGACCCAAGCCAGAGGGGCAAGGAAACTGTCCCAAGAGGGCATGGGACCGACCGCAGCACGTCACTGCCGACGGCTGAGAGATGGGACTGCCCAAGGCACTCACAGACGCTGCAGTCGGTGCAGCAGTCCATCAGCCCTGTCTGCCACATGCTCCTCGAGACAGCAGGCACAACCATGTTGTACTGTGGCTGGACTGTCACGACGGATGGGGTGGCCATTCCTAGTTGCTCCTCTGAAAGAGACAAGAAGGGAACAGGACAGTTAGTGAAAAAACTGCGGTTGGTCTGATCCCCCAACTGAGCGGGTCACCATCACTCTTCAGCAGGCGGCCTTTCGCCCGGCTCCCTTGCTGCCACTGGACGTAACAAAGCATAACCATATCTTACTTGCATTTGTTTCTTTTCAAGGTTTTTGCATTTTCTGTCATTTTATCCAGCCTTCAAAACGACATCAGGCCATTGACGTTCCCCACTCCACCGCAGAAAGGCTTCACTGGTGCTTAGACACAGTTCACCAATTTCCCTTTGTGCCAAGCAGGGCTGGGCAGTGAACCTAGGCTAAAGCCAGTGACCTGGGCATTTCCGTTGTTGAACTTGCCTTATTTTACACAAGATGGCTTTGGCAGGGATAAAAAGAATGTGGGAAGCAGACGTAGTCTTGCATTTCCTTGTAATGAGGCTGGGCTCCACGCGACAGAGATATCATAGAAAACTAGTATCTCCGGTTTCTTGTCGCAGAGAGCCAGAAAAGCAGAAACTCAAGGCTATGTCCCAAGTCTGAACTCCAGCCCTTGCCTTCCTGCAGTTAAGCAAGCAAGTAAACCTTGAAAACCAGTAAGCCTCAGATCTAAAAAAAATTTTAAAAAATCTCAGTGCTCCTATTCTCCCAGCCAAGTAAAAGTCAGCATAAAACATTCTCAGATAACAATTAACAGCAAGTTTTGCCCTGAGGCCAAGTTCTTCTAGTTATGCATAAATAGAAGAAAGGGGAAGGAAAAAAGAATAAGATAAACTGCCTGCTCACATTTCTTTTTTGCCACAAATTGTTGTTGGTTTTTGTGGTTGTTTTTTTTCTTCTTAGAAATAGCACCTTGGCAAATGTAGAACCATGCTGCTGGGTGGTCAGGCTCCTCCCTCTGCAGCACTGAGCTCAGAATCGGGAACTGAAACTGAAATGAAGTGGGTAACGGTGGCGGGGGGTTTGGGAGGGGGGCACCCTCTCCTTCCATCCTTTGGGGCAACACATGCTCCTCTAGAAACCCCACTCCTGGCTTCACCTGGCAGCACACACCAGCTTGCAAGCCTGGCGTGAATGCAAGCACAGGCTTTATCAAGTAGTATCAGGCAGTCCAGAGGGAAACTGTGAGCGCGCGTTGCCTCCGAGTGCTTCCCTCTGCTACATGGTAAATCTCTCTACTTTCTGCACTTTTACAAATGCATGGTATTCTGTATACGAGTATTACTCACATGCTTTCTCATCTCTTAGCTGCAAATATTAATGAAAAGACTGCAACATTAAAATGCTCTTGTCACCAATAGCACACCCCTTCTAAAAGGACAGCAAATACACAAGAAGACCAGGCAGCAACATCTAAAAGCAAGCTTCTGGCAGAACAGCAGCTACATCCAGCACATCCTCAGACCCTACCAGAAAACACATACAGCTAAGCAGCCTTGCTAAGAAGAATTTGGTCTTAAGTATCCATGTAGACAAGAGAGAGCCCAATTTAAACAGAGCACAAAGTACCAGCCAGATTCCTTTAATGCAGTTATAAAATTCTGGTAGCAGGAGAAAGCAGCAAAGAAGTAACCTCTCCACAATCCAGCTCTTGTGCATAGCTTTTTTAAACCCTCCCCCCATCCCCAAGTAGGATTTGCCATATATTTTGCTTTAAATTATGTGCTAAGCAGGTTAAAAAAAAAACCATCAAAAAAACCTCTGCTTTTGCACTATTATCTCACTCTTCCCAGGCTAACAAGTTTTTACTTTCCATGCTTTAAGAAAACCAACCTTCTGGGGAGCAGCCTCTGTCAGTGCAGGCTTCCTTGCTGGCCAGGACCCTGAAGCTCTGGGGAAGGTGAAACTAACTTTCTCACTGCTCTTATTGGCAGCCAGCAGTGAGCTCATGTAATGGTGGGAGGTAACTGGAATTCAGGAACTGTGACCTGTTGGTACAACTACTGGCTTAACAACACGTGTGGAGAGCACAGAATCTTTATTTCTGTTTTCCTTTTCCCAGAATTAAATCATAGACTGCTATTCATCTTTTTAAAAAAATGGTTGCACATATATTGCCTTATTCCTTTAACTCTGTGTACACATGGTTGTCATTTGGGGGAGAACAGCTCTGAATGACGTGCATTTGTTGGGATAGACGTTTTTCCAGCATTTTTTCCCCAAAGAAAAAGCATACTTTTCAGATCCCAGACCAGACTAAATGCTTCAGTCTGAGCTTTTCCCTTTTCCCAAGGAAAAGACTTTGGAGAAAGTGGTTGTGCAGATCAGCTTGCTTTCACAACCAGGCTTGGGTGACGGCAGGTGGGCAGTGTGGCAGCGAAAGGGAGGCATGGCAAGGGCTTCTGGGTGGCAAAAACATCCCTGCGACGCCCGGAACAGCTGCAGGTCAGCAACCTGTGCCATGACACTGTGATGGGGGGAAGCCCCAGCCCCAACTGTCCTCCTCCACCTTCATTCAGCCCCAGATAAGGAGGCAGCAGGGCACGATGGTACCTTTGCTTTTAATCCTCTCCTCCATCTGCAGCAAGCGTGCTCCCTGCTCCTTCTTAGGGATGAATTTGAGTTTTCATTTCCAGATTAGTAAATGCATCCCACGTGGAGGCTTCTATAAAAATTAGGCTGATTCCCTAAGTGCTTGTCACAAGCCATGTAGCCCAGCTAATGTAAAATTAACTGAGTCCTTACTATACACGCATCCATTTCCCTCCATGAGACACTAATATTTACTATTTATTCACTAACATGCCCCAAATATTTAACCATTCAAGCCCTGTGCAAACCACTGACAGTTTTGGATGCACTTCTACATTTCATAGAGAAGCTGTATGTGACACCAGGACAGTGGTTTTTGTTTCCCAGGGTGATGCAGAGCATGCAGAATGCACAGAGCGGGTCTAAGCAGAGGCTTGCACAAGAGCAATGCAAGTTCAAAGCATCCCACGTGAAGCGCCTATGCTTCCCCTTCTCTCTCGCTATTCACAAGAACCTAGGCGTCTGCTGGGGAGGGAAGGAAACGGGAAGTTGAAATGCACAGTTGGCATGAAAGATAAGCTTTTGGTTTTGTAATGAGTTATCAGCAACATTTTAAGGATTTTAATAGTCTGTCCTCTAATCAGAGCTGAGGTGACACTGACGGCCTGAGCAACCAGGCCCTGCAAGTGCTTTTCTTCCGCAGAAAAGCATCCCACTTCTACCTGCAATCCTGGTGCATCGAAGTGTAACTGTCCTTTGTCACCACCATAAACACCTACCTCAGCTCATTCTCTTCACCTGGCATTTAAGTTGGACAAAAAACCCTGCAAAAATCTCACCAGTGAAATCAAAACACGAACTCCTGAAACTCGTAGCAAGAGTATCAGCCTTGCCCAGCGCCGGCCAGGAACGCTGTTGCCTCCTGCCACAGCCTCTGTGGCTTCTGGTCAGAGCTCATCACGGGGCCTGACTGGGGCCAATTTAATGTGTAAATGCGATTTTGATAAAGATCCAGGAGTACGGATAAAAAAAACCTCCCTGAACACATTTTTGCTTTCTCAGCAAAGAACAAAGTATATATTACATGGTCTACCATTGTATTTTACAGAAAAGCGGCAATCAGAAAGTAGTTTATTCCATTTTATGCTGATGCCGTCCACATGCAAACATTCCCACCTGTCCTCCACAGCATTTGAAAGAACTCCATCACACAACTTAAAATGCTGCCACAAATGAGCAAAGCTACCTTCCCCAGTACGCTGCCTCATGCTCCCAGTTGCACAAACCCCAGCGTCTGGAGTGGCGAGAAGCGGGTTCGTTTACAGAGGCTCCGCTGTAAACACTCCGTGCTATTTCTACGGCCTCCCAAGAATTTTATCCCAAGCTGCCAGCTGCTGCCAAAACGCTGCAGGGGATGACAGACCTTACCTTCTCCTGTCCCTCGTGTCTGGTATACATGATGCCCTTGCTTTAACCCAACGGCACTGCTCCCAGTCTACTTGAGGAGCAGCGCATTAGCCCAACACCTGAGCAGGCGCTGACTCAGCAGCCACACGTGATGCATCACCAAGTTAATTCAACATTAACCAAGGTATTGGCAGAGTGACATCCAACACACTTTGCAACAGAATCTGACATGCAACAAGTACTTTTTAAATGTACTGATGTTACTTAGTAGAGTAAGTTGTACTGCTGATTAAAAAGAGCCTTTACTACTTAATAACGATGCTTTTTAAGACGGATGGGAGAAGGCAATCTGAGAGATAGCTGGACTGGGAGAGATGACGTGCAAGAAGGGGAAGCCGCGAAGCTCCACACCTGCTGCGTGCACGTGGCCACAAGTCCTCTTCTGAGAGCTTTGCTCACCTTCAGTTCAATGGCAGTCTCATTCCTCCCCTCCGTGTGCAGCACGTGATGCCTCTTGTGTATGACGGGATTTCTTCTGTGTGACTTCATCCACCCGGCACCCAACAGGCTCACCCTGAGAGCCTCTCATGGTAGCTCCCTATGTGTTTAACCTCCAGTTTTCTGAAGTACCTTCTGACTTGACTTACCTTGGCATAAATAAATCAGCATTAAGCAGCTCGAACTCTTGAATGCAACTTCTTGGTTGCCCCCTGCTTTGCCACTGATTTCTTAGGCAAGGCCTGAAGACAGCAGATAGATACAACAGTTGCCACCTTTGCAGCCGCTCCATAGCAGATGGCTTCCTTGTATGGATGTCTCAAGATCTCAGAGGACCTCTGACAGCACAGCAGCTCACGACTAGGCTGAGAGACATGGGAAGGAGTGAGAGACACTCTTCCCATCCTACCCAGCATACAAAAAAAAACCCAAACAGGCAACTGGTCCCCAGGTTGCACTGGCGGCGGGCCAGCTGTGGAGAGCACCGCTTTTCCAGTAATCTGTCAAATCTTTCATTTATTGCATTACTGTGTGGTGTCATGCACACAGAAGTGGTGGTGGGGGAAGCATCATGGCAACACTAAGCAAATACATTCCTTAAGGTCCCTTCCAACCAATGCTTGCATAAAGCACAACAGTAATGCAAGCATTGCCAAAACCCACATTATGATGTACATAAAGTCTATGCTTTCCTTCATTTTTCTCTCAAGTACTTTTATTTCTATTTATATATTTCCTGAAAAAGCGGTTAATAGCACGACAGCATCTGCAGGAAAATAAGCTCTGATCAAGCCAGAAAATCCATCTGACAAATATTTAGGCATGCTACCACCTGACGGCCAACACAAAATGCACACAGGTCTTTCTATTAAGCAGCCACTTAACACTGTTGAAGTTTCTTCTCAAAACAAGTCCCCTCATGCTATGCCTGCACTGTTGCCTGCAGGGTTAACTTGGGGATAAATTATTTCCCTTCAATACACTTTTCATTCAGAGCTGAACAGCACGTTGACGCCAGTCCAGGAAAAAAACCGAGGTACTCCAGAATGGGCATGCAGTTGCTTTCTTTCCCTGACCTCACAGCTTGGTTCCGTTCTTTATGCAGTTGAAGCAACATATTCTATATTACATATTTCTCCTTTTTACTCTACCTGTCATAGCCAAGAAGCTCTGCAATTTGGAGGAATTGCATTCTGCTGGTATAAACATTCAAGGGGGTTTTGGTCTTTTGTGTTTTTGTTTGGGTTTTTTGTTAGTTTTTCATTTCATAAAGCTGTATTGTTAAAAGTTTTGAACTTGGCTTCTGAACAGTTTTTTGCTGGTTTTGGTTTTTAATTCTATTACACCTCTTCCTGCTTAGCTCTGATGAACTCACATGTGTACAGCTGCCTCCCTGTGGGCAGGAGAATGGTGGTTTTAAAGAAAACACCATCCAAGAAAAGAAGTGTTGTAAAACCAATGAGGTTTGGTTTTGTTTTTTCCAATTTCCTTTGTATTTCTGGTACTGTATCTAGCACACACTGTGTTAAAGTTTGCTCCAGCCTTTTACCTCCATCACAAACTAGAGGGAGGCACTGCAGGGAACATGTTGTATCTGTATGCCAGGAGTCTTCAGCTAGTACAAAACTTCACATTATCCATGGCCAGTTAACATCCACATTTTTTGTCAGCTTTGTTTTGAATCTTAAACAGATCTTCTCTTCTGGTATTTGCACTGTGATGTGTTCAGAAACAAATTAATGGCCCTTTCCCTGCTTTTGATGAACAGAAAAAACAAAGAAGCACCCATAAAATACATTTTCCCGCTTCTGTTTACCACACCAGTCCTTCATCACAACAGTTGTGCTTTCAACATCTTCCTTGAATACTGGCTAACCACAATGCTGTGCTAGTACAGATGATGCATTACCTGAATTTTCAATCAGCTTTTTAGTGACTTCAGCCCACAGGATGCTCTGATCTTTACATACACTGACACACCTTTCCGACTTTGAGTCGAGCCTCCTTTTTGTTCCCACGTCACTCTACCAGCAGCTGACCTGGTGACTCCCTACGACTGGACTGCCTTCCAGCCATGCTGGCTGTCCCATGTCCTCCAGCCTGTGCTGTTTGCACACATTTCCTGAGCTAGGTACCTGCAGCACATACCTTCCTGAAATTAGAGGGAGGCAAAAATCTGACCTCCTTGCATTAAAAATACCATATGCACCAAGGAATACATGAATATCAAAATCCACGCACAATTCACCTTGGATAACACTATGAGTCTCTCCACCTGGCAAAGGTGAAAGTGAAAGCTCCCATGTGCCACTGTCCCAACTGAGCTTCTGAGTCTAAGATCCAGCCCCACCACGAAGGGCTGCCGATGCCTTGGCAACCCTCCCTGTATCCCCGCAGGAACTAGCACCCCTACATACCGACGGCTACTCCTGGACAAAGAGCTGGTGCTGCTTTGATACACCTTTCTACAAAGGCAAGTGTTTGTGTTGGTTACAGAGTTTTCTGTTTTGCTGAGCAACTTCTAGCATTTCATGTCTGCCTTTGCAAAGCACGTTTGACCTTCCTGCCCCCTCCAAAAGCATTTATTATCTCAATATCCTGTGGAGGAACATTTGGAAAACAAAGGGGAAGAGAAATGGAACATTTATCACTGGAGGAGAAACTTCAGAGGACAATGTTTATTTGTGCAAAAGCACACTAGCTAATAATGATCCTGCTGCTTAGAGATAAGAGTATTTGAGAATTTTTTAACAGACTGTATCTAAATACAGTGGAGATTGTCTTTGTGAATATTTGGAACAGAATACCTTGGGAATTGAAGGAGAAGATATGCACGTATACCTGCCAGCAGATAGAGTTTTAGCCCGGAAGTAGTTCAGCCTTTGTCTCTTTTGCACTTAAAAAGTTATTTCTTATTTCTGCGTATTAATCATAAAATGCTCACACAAATAACACTCTCAGTATTACAGCCTAAAACCTAAACCTGATGTCATTTTTCAGGCAATGAACCTGAAATACATGGCTTATCTTTGTAAAACGCATTTTGACATGAATTTGGGACCCCCCCCAAGAAAACATGCAATGATTTTCAAGTTTAGGACACGAGGACTGTTTTGAGACTTGAATTTTTACTCTACACCTTCTTCTTCCTCTCATTTCAAGACAAACACTTGCTTGTGACAAGTTGTCACCGGACAAAGGACACCATTAGGTTCAAAGGCACTACAAAATGCGAGCTCTTCTCAAATCTAAGCTCCTTAAAGACACTTTAGTATGTTAAAAATGGATTAAAAACTTTTGCCACAACTTAAGGTAATATTACAAGTGTTAAGAAACTGATCCGTACTATTTACAAGACTTTTTTATTATTAATAAATGCCTTATAACCAAAGTTCAACATGAAGTTGGATGCATCCAATTCTCCCTCTACAAAATGCAACTTTGTCACATAATTGTTCAGAAACTTACTATTCTTCATTTTTAAACTGCTTTTCTTCAACTTAATACTTCCTCCACCTCAAAATTATAAACCCTATTCAAGAACAATTTCTGTGGAAATACCAAAGAGGCCCTAAAAGCATTTCTTCCTAACATTTTCACATATTTCTATCTTATATGCCATCAGGCTGAAAAATCTACTCTAATTTGCTCAAAATATATTTGACATCACTTGTTTAAATAGTAAAAGAAAAAGCAACTTTACAAGGTGTTCATTAAAAAGAAGTGTTCAGAACCCACACAAGTCTGTTCCAGCCCCAAAAAGGATCTTCTGTAACCAAAGCCATTGACTTACTGTATGCTTTCTCATTTCCCTGCAACAGGAACTTCTTTGCCTGCTCACCATCATCAGCAATGCAAAACTAGTTAGCAAACCCTGAACACATGGCTTTAAACTGCAATGTCTCTCAGCCATATCGGTTTAAGTAACCTTAAACTATGATACCCATTTTCAGAGCTAGAGGTGTAAGTAGCCTTAATTTTGGTGTGACTGCACACACAGTTGTACCCCACCACTCAAGGAATGGAGCAGAACGCACCATACAAGCTCTTTAACATCACGAGTCAAAGAAAGGGTTAACTATCATGCAAGTCATGTAACAGAGAGAGCATAAACCAGTTAAAAACACGAACGGTTTGGAGCAACATAATCATTAGCCTGCAGTTGCTATTTTTATTGTTTATAGGTATTCTCCTATAAACAAGTTCTTCCTATAAGACTACAAATAAAACCAGTAAGCTTAAGTCAAAATGAATAGAATTAAAAAATAAAAATAAAAAATAGTATCATTTTGCATGATGAATTCATAGCTCAGGGTCAACAACCAGTCATGCGCAGTTGGCAATAGTTCTGGACTGCTCTGGTTTTGGTTTTAGTCAGTAGTCTGTGTTCAAATCAATCTTGATAAACAAGCTCAGCTCACTCTATGTAGGCAACTTTGCAGAAGCCTATTCTTTTCATGTGAAAAGGAACCACTCCCAGCAATCACAGCAAGAGCGAAAGGTAATTTTAAATACTTCTTTATTGACTTCTTATTCTGGACCTCTCACACTCAGTCCTGACTGCTCCTAGACATCTCAGGATAAAAATTGTTATTGCAATTCTTTCACGCAACAAGCTCCAACTCAAACTGAAAATTATTCATGTAATAAATCAGAACACCAAATACGTATGGCCAGATTTTATTTACATCCTGAAATCACTTCCCAGCATTTTCCCAGGTTGCTGTCACTAAGAGACATCTGTTTCATATAAAATCTGGCGCTCACAGTCTTGAGAGCTTGACAGAAGTTTGCTTGTACTACACAGGACCAGCAGAGCAGCTGCACTTGTTGAAGCTTCTATGGATGTTGGAGTCATTTAAGGATAACCAAAACTTGCATTGTAGGATAATCTCATTTGCATGTTTTGAAACAAGAATGTTTTCACCAGCTTTTATAAATAAACAGTATAAATCAGCTGTAGTTAAGTATTTTCCTTCTTACTGTACTTACACTTTAGATGGACTAAAATATCAGTATTTATAGTAATTTCAACTACCTGTTTTCTAAAGGTTCTTCTACCTTTTTGGAGTCTTTTTGTTTCCACAGATTTCCAAGTACAATCCCTACAAAGAGCAGAACCCCTACAGTACGATTTGAAGCAAATTTCTTCCAGCAGTCTTCAGGTTTGTCTATGTCCAAAGTATAAACCTGCAAAAGCACAGTAAACATTCTAGCATTATTATTCTACAGACTTATAAATATTTGACACATCACAACAAGACACAACAGGTTCTGTAATTTCATAAACTAAATCTTAATTTTTAAAGTCTGCCCTTAGCTCCACAAGAAACAGGAATAGTCTGTGCTTACAAAGGATTTTTTGCATAACTGGCACTTATGTTTACTTCACATATTTATTCAACATACAGCAGAAAAGTCAAGGATCACATATGAAAACGATTCAGTGAACCAGGGTAACTGGAATGCACAGGAAGGTGCCCGGCCCTGACTAGTCACCCAGGGCTGGTTTAGTCCAGTTGCTCTTAGCCATATCTGTTCAACTCTCTTGCAAAAAAGAACCAGGACAACACCTAGAAGCAAGGCTTGCCCAGCTTGGCAGCGGTGAGTCACAACTAAAGGTGAAAAAACTCACACAGTGCAGCAAGAACAAAGTTACTGAAAAATATTCTTAGAAACAAAACTTGGTAGAAAAGTCTTGAGAAGGACGATAAGCAAAACAAGTGAAAGGATTAATAGAAAAGTGTCCCCCAAAACCTCAAACCCTTGCAATTCAGCCTCTGAAAAATTCAAACCAGAAAGTATCCAACTAAGAGCAGTGAAACCTTCCCAAGGAAACCTGTTCCTCTGCCATTTAAAGTTGTACAGAGGCGACAGGGCTGGGTTCTAATCAAATAATCTGAAACATTGTCCACAAGCTTCTAGGACATGATGCTATCCACACCCTTGAAAACCTGTCAGCTCCTCAAGCACAGGGAACTGAAAACACTGAACTGACAAATAAAAGGCAACAGCAGCCAAGCCAGGTGATACACCTTCAGAAATGCAAAGCAAATAAAATGTTATTTTTCTATCAGTGAACCTCTTGAGTGGCATAGAAATTTGACATCTTCATGGCCCAAATTCCTCTCAGGCACAAGTTCAATGAATTAAGGAAAACCTACCCCTCAGGTGGCTTACTCAGCTTTCTAAACTCAGTTAGTTAAGCACACGTTCAGAAAGCTCGAACAAGAAGATAAGCACGAGAATGTGTGGGCAGAACTAATATTAAAATATTCACAAAGAAGCTACTCTGTGGTACACAGAACAATGCTGCTGTTTGACTTTGGCTATCTCCACAGTGATTGTGCACTCTTCACCACTTACATTCAACAGGTCTGCATTCTCACTTATAAAACCCCTCCCTGCAGGAAAGCAACTTCCATGTGTGCCAAAACTACAATGTAAGGCCTCTCTGCCAATTCAAACTGCACATGATTATGCAGCAAAACGTAGTATTCTTTCCCTCATAGATTTCCAAGCACAACTGCTATGAAAAGCAGTGGCTGACAAGTACCAGACTACATCATCACAAGAATTCTTACTCAGAGGTATGTTTAATATCCATCACCTGCATGAGCTTCCCCCATTAAAGTGTAACCTAAGTCTAATGTGGTTTAAACAGTTTCATGTTAACCACCGACTTAACTTCTCAGATTGACTTTACTACCTGCAATGCACAAACCTCTTTGCTCACCTATCAAGACCAGCAATTTTCACATAGACCAACTTTCATATAGACTGACTTGTTACTACATGACTGGGCAACACAGTTGTCAGGATTCAGAAAGAACAGGGTAACAAGATCCTATCTGCTTCCTTTACTGACAAAGCTAGTTTCTTTCCGTTATTCATTAAAGTTTCTAAACTAATATAAGACTGAACTGGATTGTTCTCTGCTATAAAAAGAACTGTGAATTAGAGCTGCCACTTAGCATAAAATTATAATATTAACATCTGCTATAGGTGGTAGTGAACAAGCCACAGAATTTTGTTATACTATTAGATCCCAGACTGAAGCTCCAGACCACAGTAGAGAATAATTTTTAGATGTAAAATTAACCATCTCTCAGAGACAGAATGTGCCACATTAATTTTCATGTAGCTACTGTACAGGACGTTATAAAAAAAAAAAACCTGCATGTCTCCTTGATACTACAGACCATATAATCTTTTAAAATAAGTGAATGATCATAATATACATCAATTGCAGTCTCAGATCACATGCGCCAGATGTAGCAAGAGCTGTATCACAACAGTAAAAACTGCACAATCTTGTAGGATATTGAGCTGGATTCTAGCTGCAGTTGCTACTGGAAGTGAGAAGAAAACCATTCGCCTGAGTTCACAGCTTAATGCAATGCAGTTCTTTTGGGTAGGAAGAGATTGAAAACCAGTGCTCTACAGTCTGTGGCTCACTGGAGGTCTCTTGCAAACAAAAGGTCTGCAAAAGGTACTTAAGAGAAGTAAGCTTATTGTCGGAAGACTTCAGTTCTCTTTACAGGAATTGGGTTTTTTTAGGTAGTTGGAGAATTGATGGGGGTTGAAAAACACTCTGATTTCTTATCAAGAACTTCCACATGGAAAAAGTATAAATAAATCCATCCAACCTGGTGTGCTAGGTGAGCCCCTATGGCAGCCACAGCTGAATAATACGGGAACGTCTGGTTACAATTCATTCCTGCCACGCACAAACTCAGGAGCATTGCAAGGCTGAAGCCACTGAGCCACTGCTTCGTATCCTCCTTGAACTGTAATGCTGTTGACTTCACACCGATAATGATGTCATCCCTCTTATCCTAGAATGAAAGGATGAATTAGCAAAAAATCCACAATCCAACTGCTGCTTGATAAGGAAAATAAAAAGGGAGACCTTGCTTAAGTTTCCAATGCTTCTTATTAGGAACCCAATTTAAGTACATTTGTAGGTCCCTACATTAAAACTTAAATTAGAAGGTTGGTCCTTAGAGCTGCTTTAGCTGCCAAGAGCTAATACCACCATCACAGTTATTTACACAATGTAAATGCATAAGCACACAAAGTGCATTATACTTCCAGCTTTCTACCTGATGTGTGAAACATTTGCAAACAGCAATAAAAAGTCCAAGAGCTGGGGTTTCCTTGGTGCTGTTTTAGCTCAGCTGATGATGGAGAACTGCAACAGGTTAGTACTGCTGTTGACAACAAAGTTGTAAATTAAATACACAGATACCTAAAATTTCCCACGGTTACTCTACCTGATGTGCGTAAATGGTATCGTATACCAGAGTCCACGTTACTCCAGCTAAGTACAAGGGCAAACACACAGACCACTCACATGACCCTTTGATGGCAGACCAGCCAAGAAGGGCTCCCCAATTAAATGTAAGTCCTAAAACCATGAGAGTGGGAAAAAAAAAAGAAAAAAGAGACGAGAAGTTACAAGATTGCCAGGAGCACTCACATGACCCTTTGATGGCAGACCAGCCAAGAAGGGCTCCCCAATTAAATGTAAGTCCTAAAACCATAAGGAGAGTGGGAAAAAAAAAAGAAAAAAGAGACAAGAAGTTACAAGATCGCCAGGAGCAATTGAAATTGCATGTATAGAATTAAATATTATTTGTTCGAGTGTATATCATATCAGCAGCTTCTTGTACAATAGTGGCATTTTTATACCACTTATTTTCAATCAGGTAATAAATACAAGTAATTTGACATTAAATACTTTGGACATACAAGGAGAAATACGTATAGCCGCACATATTTCCCCAATTTAAATTCGACTTCATTAGCCAAGGGAAACATTTGCACAGAACTATTCCAATGTACTCAAAAAGTCTAAAGTTAAAACGCTTAGATGTCAGTATAACAAAAGATGTCGGTATGATTGACTGCAAAAGAGTGCACAGCAGCCAATTATGGTACTTCATGGCTGAAAATGACAGTTTTAGTTGAAAAAGCTGAAAGCAGCTGGCATGTGAAAGCCAAGATACAAAGATAGGTTTCAGTAGCTCAACCTGAAATACAAGCACTGTCAGATCCTGCACAGGAGTTATTTTAGAGTCTGAAGATTGAAATGCAGGACAAATGCATGTTTAAGAAAGGTTTCAAGATAACCCCAAAACTAAAGCTGATTCTCAAATGACAAATATTTATTTTCTCTCTCCCTTTCTCCCTTTCCTCACTCTGTCAAAATAAGGAACTGATTTTTAACAAAAAAAACCCCAACCCCAAACCCTTGTATGTGTTATAAATTGTTTAAGAAACTTCTGGCACAACAGAACTTTGTCTATAAGGTATTTTTATTTTAATATAAAGTTATGTCCTGGTTTTGGCTGGGATAAAGTTCATTTTCTTACTAGTAGCAGATGTAATGTTGTTTTCGATTTAGGATGAGAATAATGTTGATAATACACTGATATTTTGGTTGTTGCTAGGCCATGTTTACACCAAGTCAAGGACTTTTCAGCTTCTCATACTGCCCCACCAGCGAGAATGCTGGGGGTGCACAAGAAGCTGGGAGGGGACATGGCCAGGACAGCTGGCCCAAACTGCCCAAAGGGATATTCCATACCATATGGCATCATGCTCAGTATATAACTGGGAGGAAGCTAGCCGGGGGTTTAGACCATGGCTTGGGAACTAGCTGGGCATCGGTGGACTGTGAGTGGTGAGCAATTGTGCTGTGCATCACTTGTTTTGTATATTCTTTTATCATCATTATTTTCATTTTCATTTTCTGTCATATTAACCTGTTTTTATCTCAACCCACAAGCTTTCCCTTTTTCTTTTTCCCCCCCAAATCTCTCCCTCATCCCACTGGAGTGGGGGGAAGCGAGCAAACGACTGTGTGGTTGTTTTAGCTGCCTGCCGGGTTAAACCACAACAGTTATAAAAAAAATCAGATTGCTGAAGTTCAATTACTAGTTTGTAAAACACCCCAAAAACTACATCTGAAGAAAAAAATAGTAAAAATATTTCCAGCTCACCCAAAACTAACTGTGGCCAATACGTTACTCTCTTCATCAGAGGGTAGGTGATGACAAGAGACAAAGAGGCTGCCCCCAGAACAATACTGTAAAAAGTACCAAAAGGTTTATTGTTTGCCAGTCTAAAGATCACAAGATAGAGTGCAGCATTACAGGAGCCATACATAGTACTGAGCTAATTCTTTTATTTTCAAATACAATTCCATGACTAATAACCTCCTCCCACTGCCCCCAGCACCTTTTCTGCTGACAATCTCTGTGCTGAACTCTGGACCCAGAATAAAATTTTAAGAAACAAAAGTTAACTTATACATCACCTATAGTAATTCAGACACAGAAGCACACAAAGCGCCAAGCTAAGCTGTCCCCCAAGAAAAACAAAGGACTGAAAAGTGGAGATATCTCCAGCTGCCAGGGGCCTACTTGCTGTCCTTGCAACCTAAAAATGGAAAGAATAATGTTAATACAACATAACACATTCCAATGTATCTTAAAACCAAAAGTCACACCATTGGCATAGAAGCAGAAAAATAAACAGGTCACAGAATGTATGAGACGGGGTTCCTTCAATGATACAAACCCAGCATATCATCGCAGACATGGGCTGTGCTAAGCAGCAGCACTTATAATAGAAGTACACGTTTTTTTAAAAACTAGAACAGAAATAAAGTGCCACTTGTGTGCAATAAGGCTGATTAGAAACATCATGTAGACATCTTGTACATGAATTTTATTACCTTAGAAAAAAAAAAAATCGGACTTAAAAAGTTGTGAGCTAACTATCCCAATTTCGAGCAGCACTTCGGTGCTTAAATGCTTTAAAGTGATTACCATGTAAAATATCGTAAAGATGCAGGGCTCCTCAAGCACACATAACCATTGTTGATAAGAGTGAAAGGACAATTGACTTAATCCTAGTTGGGATACAGTGGAGTTTAGAAACTCTGTCTGGAACAAGAATTCCTAAGAGGCAAACTGAAGGAAGAAACAAGTATCAGAAAAAAGTTAAACTTGAATGTATGGTGAGTTACTTGCCAAAGGTGACCATTGCCAAAAAGAAGACAAAAGTTTTGTGTGTTGATGAAAATGGTATAAAGTCTATTTGAAGAGGTTCAAAATTCAACTTTTTACAGAATACTATATATGTACAAAGTGTTCTGCATATGCTTTAATAATGTGAATTTACATAAACTCTTTTAGTATGTTCTTCCCCCCCCCCCATCAGGTTATGTTAAATGTCAAGTAATGCTTTTGCAGTTTAAACACACACTTATATTTGTAACCAATTCCACTGCATGTCATAACCAAAGGTGGGATGTTTCATTTAAAGAAAAGAAAACATTTACCAAGTAATCAGTAACATAAAATCTAAAACCCCAAACCACCATCACCAACACAAGCCAACATCCTGCCACTGACCTGACATCTATTGCACTTGTTTTGAAGATACTCTTTTAGGTATGTAAGAAGGAGCTACAATGGGAATTTTTAAAACTTTGCATATATGAATTCACTATATTGAAAATTCCATCTTACTAATCATCACCCCACCATGTCAAATATTTTTAGCATGTGTAGTTGTTAATAACCGCCAAACCCTAAACCATCCAAAACTGCCACAAAACTTGTACTGATTCACCGGCCTCCCAACAGCACAAATACAACAGTGGTGTAAGAACTTTACATATCACATCGGCTCATTATCCTGTCTCTTGCCAGTGCTGAAACCCAAAACTAGAGGAACAATATAGGACTAGAAACCAGGTCAAGCAAGCAGTGAAGCATCACCAGGATACTCCCATCCAAGCCTGCACCTATGCACATTTCAACATCTGACACCGGGCACTGCCTTTTGCTTATTTCCCTCTTCTGAACAAAGAGGAGATTAAAAATACAACATAATAGAAGAGAATTAGCTCAAGGTTGGGCATGATACGCTTAACGGCCATTCTCATGAAGACATTAACAATACTCAAGGAAACCCTGCACCTGAAAATTTAAAAAAAAAAAAAAAAAAGGAGGGGGGCTTCTTGGGTAGATCATAACTAGCAAGTGTAGCAAAAAGGTGTTATTTTGTTCTGCCACGCAAAACAAAGTTGAAAAATACACTTGTTCAAGTATAGCTGACAAGAATGCATATTTTTATCTTACACAGAGGTAAGTACTCTAGAAGACTTGTTACAGTCCTAGACAGAGAAAGGTTATACAAAATAAAATGATTTCTACTATTCTAGGAGGAAAGATAGACAAATTAATCGCACGCATCTCTGACAGAAACATGAAGGAATTTCTGAACCTGGAGCCCTATGCCTGCCCTCAGCAAAGAATCAATGTGATGCTGGAGACTGAGTGAACGTGCACTTGGTTAATTAACCAGCAATTCACTCCCCTAGGTCTCTGCAAGCCCACAGGGGTTTCTCTACCTTTTTGTCATAGTCGCGATCCCACATGTCATTGATCGTGCAGCCGGCTCCGCGCATGAGCACCGCTCCGATGCCGAACAGGGACAGCATGTGCCAGTCCGGGAGGCAGCCCGGCTC